TATATATACACATACACACAGAAACCCCTCGACAATATGCGTTTTTGCATTGCGTAGCTGCTAAAAACGCATAATAACTGGTCAGCGCACAGACTGCCGGTGTGAAGATACATTTTTTGCACAGTTCCCCGCAGGTTTTTGTTGCTAACGGCACAGTTTTTTCCGTTGGATGCTTCTAGCTAAAAGAATTGAGACCAGCTACCAAGGTTATCAGGAAGCATCCCCTTGAAATTCCAGCTTCCTAGCTTTTTTTGTTCCCGAGTTAGCAACCTGCCTGCCAAAAATTTTCACGGGCCTGTACGTGGGAAACTGTTGGGCAAGGGCATCCATTTTGGGAATAGGGGCCCGTACATACGTGTAGATTAATAAGTCTCGAGATGAAAAATCGGTACAAACGCATATACAGACACAATCCCCTCCCCCCTAACCCAAATACATACACAAACACACACACACAGAAAACCCCTGGACAATATGCTTTTTTTGCATTGCACAGACGCAAAAAACCAAAAAAAACAGACAGTGCATTTTCGATTATCCAGCAAGCAAGCAAAGTGAATTTGGGCAGCGAAACATACTCAAGTCATCAAGCACTTAACAACATTCTATTGCGCTAAATACAAAGAATACTAAGACTGCCGGGAAGTCAGTTTGGCGATTCCATGCTAGTAATGTAGCTGGGATACTCTTACACAGCGGGCGTAGCTGTGCCAAGTGAAGAAAGGAAAATTAGTACAAAAGGTTCATTCCAGGTGGCAGAAAGAAAGTGCTCTATCTCAGATTTAAGGGATAAGCGAGTTAGGCTGTTTCAGCCACAAAATCACTAATTAAGTTTGACATCTCATTTGCTTTGACAACGTTTGCTAAATTCATTGTGACCATTTTCTCTGAACAGATTAGCCTTGGCTTATCAATACGATAATAATGCTATCCAGCCCAATAAATTGCAAAGAAGATGCCTCTTTTTTGGGCCAAGGAAGTAATCAAGGTGTATTAGAAAAATGGCTGAAAAAAAGTTATTGCTGAGTGACTGCAGTAGCATATTTGAATACAAATTTTGTAAAGAATACCGAAATCCGACCGAAAGTTGTGTATTAAAAATAAGGACACAGACACACACGCACACAAACACACAGCCTCTTACCAACATGCATTTTTGCATTTGCATAATATGCAAAAACACATATTTGTCGAGAGGGTCGTCCTGCATGTGGATTCGGAAGTGAGTGAATTTTATCACCCACTTTCAATTCGGCAACCAGGGAACCTGGGAGGCTGAAATTTTGGGAGCATATCCTCACCCCATCACCCTCCTGTACTGCTCACACCTGCCTAGATCTCGCGTACAGACCCCAGGAAGAAACGTATAAATTTCTTTGGCAAAAAACGATTTCGGGAACCAGATAAGATAGAAAGCTGAAGCGTTACAGGGATATTATATGTGTATGTGTTAAAGATTTCAAATTCAGCACTCATGAGCTTACTGAGCCAGAACTTCAGCCAGCAGTTTGAAACAATGTGTTGCTAGCATTTAGAATTTCGCTTCATCTTAATAAGTAATCGCGAGAGGTAATGATGAGATATCCTGACTGTCAGTAGCTGGCAGTCCCGTATCAGCTCTCACAAACTGAAACTGTTGTTCTGCTGTTTTGTTCCTCCTGATCAGCGTAACATTGTAACTGCCATAATTTTGCCTTTCCGTGAGAATGTGAATTAACACAGTGAAATGTAAGTAACACAGAAATGACTCTAAAATGTTTTACTGGAAAACGCACTTTAACTGAACACAAACGTAGTATTTCCAAAAAAAAAATCTTTCCCGCAATGTCAAAATAAAGCTAACGAAGGAATCAACTGCCGCATCCAATTCGTTCAAGATGTGAAACACTCATGTATGGCTGGATAGAAACAAGGCATTGGAAACATCGAAATTTATTTCGCAATTAAAATACAAAGAGGAACAAAACAGCAGAACAACAAAACAATAAACCCAAAACAAAAAATGTTTAGCGTATGCAGAATGGTAAAAATACAACATTGGATGGAAAAGTTTCTGAGTAATCATTTAGCATGATGAGACAGAACCGCCAAATGTACAGTTACGCGAGGGGACGGAGGGGAAGGGGAGGGAAGAGGGAGACAGGGCGGTGGGAGGTAGGGTCATTATTTTATTTTCGATCAATCAGGCCATTACACTGAATGGCTATTCTGGGAACAACAAGTGATCAGAAGCCGTGCACTTAAAAATTTATTTGGATAGGCAATCCGGATGAAAGTAAAAAGTGAAAAGAGCTACTATCTAAAACGTCCAAGTTAATTTTAACTACACAATGATGATCACTAGCAGGACGCTACAACAGATCCATTTTAAAGCGGCGGATCTAAATCTCTAATCTGAAAACGAAAAGTTCCTAAAAACTTCTTTCCCATATTGTAACCCAAACGATCCAAGCCAAAAATAAAAAACTATACTGAATAATTGCCAAGACAATCCAATCATAAGAGAAAAGTGACCTAACCTCTGAGAAAACGAGAAAATCGTTTGAAAAAGGAAAATTTTGCCAACTGTTGCAAAGTTACAACTTTAACGTGTCCTTACACATGCCGTACGGGTGCGCTTCAGCTGAATTTAAAACATTTATCTCACATAGGGGCACAGACTATTTTTGTGAAATTTCAGCATTTTAGCTTGCCTGGTTCCCTAAACCGTTTTCCCGCCAAAAAATTTTCATAAATTTTTTGATGTGTTCTCACATAAGAACCAAGCGTGGGAGAACTATGACTTTAGCGCTGGGGCATCGCAATGGTATGGGAAGGTTCTCCAGAAATTTCAGCTTCCTAGACTCACCGGTTGCCAAGTTGAAAGTGGGCAGCAAAAATGCAAACACACAAGCGTACAAACACATACAAGAAAGTTTTTTTCAATGCGCTCTGCATTTGCATAAATGTACAAAAACGCATAACTAAGAAATGCTTCCCCATTAATAATTGCGAGGTATTGCAAATCGGCTTGAAGGATGCTGATAAGCGAAAAAAAACAGAAAAATGTTTTCTGATTTAGATATCAAACTTGGGAATGTACGAAGAAAAATACTACAGGTAACTGTTTATGAAAATTTGAATTTCCTAAAATATTTTTTTACGAAGAAATTATACCCTTCGCCAATGAAGAGCGCTTTATATTGCAAAACCTATTGTAAATGATATTTGTCGATGGTATTCTGTACAGAGGATTCTCAGCGCAAAATCCAACACGTTCCATTACCTGTCCATCTTCTTTAAAACAGCCAAACGTTCTTTTCTAATTAAGACAAGCCGAATATATGGGAAATTCTGCACTTTCTTAATCGTCAGTTTTCTGGAAAACATTTCAACCACACAGTAATCAGAATAAAAATGAGCACTCGGGAAAAAGGATGGTACACACATGCAACAGCGAGTGCAAGCAGGAGACAATCAGTCGAAAAAGGAACATCTGACGTAGCGTGCGAGTGCATCCCAATAACACTAGAGGGCACATCTTGAAATTTGGGCGTCTTTTGCAGAAATGGTAAAAGTATCAGGAAACTAGCAAAGCTGAGCTGTGAAAAGTTTTCGTTTCTCACACCTCCAACTAGCGTAATGATTAGATCCGAGAAAGCCCTTTTCTGAATAAAGCAATCGCTCTCTTGCATGGTCCCGGAATTATGATCACAAAATCGCCAAGAAATAAAAAAGAAAATAAATATGCAAAAGACCAACTTGAACGAAAAAACGGTGAAGGAAAGTTGATGCGTTGAAGAAAAATTTCGCATAGCAATCTCCCGAACATGATCTTGCATGTATGAGCCAATCATCAAGTAATCAAAGCGAATCAGATCGGAAATATCCAGATTTTCCGTTTTATTGTACCTAGAAATTTCAGAAACACCACTTCTGGCCCCTTGAGCACTGAGCATCCGCACGTCTACCATGAAAACTCGCCTGATTCCTGCCATAAATATCAATTCGATATAAATTTTAACAACTGCTCCAACAATACCGAAGGTCTGTTAAAAATTTTTTTAAATTTCATCTGGAAAAAGCCACTCACTCCCATGCATCAAAATCTTCTAGGAATCGACTGATGCCTGTCTGAGCTGCATAACCATCAATGTGAACCAATACTGGCTTCAACCGGTCTTGAGACGCAGTGCGCTAAAAGACATACGATTTACGGCAGAATTGAAATTGCGTAACCCATAAATACTGTAAAATGTGCAATATTCAAGCTTTCAAGAACAGCAAGGCTACCAAGACAACCGTGTCTATTTTGCTGTTTGGTTGCTCCTAAACGCTGCATGCACAGTCTTGTCAGTCCTATCCGTCCTGAGCTGCATATTTCTAGATAATCATCGCCTTATTTACTTTTTCGCGAGTACCATCCCACCGGCTGTCAACAGAGCGAGCCCATCGGATTTTACTTCACTGCATAGGAGCAGCACGCCACTCACTGATGGAGAGACTAATTGCTCACATGGCTACGAAAGTTTTGCACTCGTATGACAATACTTTCAGCACAGCTTTTTCAGTTAATTCCTGAAACCGTGTAGCTTTCCTCTGACCTATTATATTTCTGGAAATTTTGTCCACAATTTACAGTTTAGCGCCTTTCTTCGTTTCATTTCCATATTCAGTTTTCGAATTTCTTCTGCTGCAGAGTGTAGAGGTCAGAAAAAGATTGAAAAAAAAAAATGGTCAGTTCCATCCATCCCGAAGCTTTTAGAATCACAGATTTTGTCAATAAAGTGAACAAAAAATGGTTAAAGGACTTAGTACAATGAATTCTAAGGAATCGAATGGAAACCTGAATACGATTCAACGCTTCAGCGCCAGGATAGTTATTCTGACTTGCAGTTGTAAAGATGCAAGTGCCACAGATATTAAATACCAGATGTGCCACAACTGCATACGCCAGTAATCGTTTAAATGTCGACCTTCTTCTATTGATCCACCTGGAAAAGTTACAATTTACCGGTGAAACTCACTAATAAATTGCGGGGCGCACCAAGGTAGCCGATGCGAACACGCATTTTGTGCAGCCCTGCTCAGCTAATGCTCGTACAACTCCGTCCAAGGGAATCTCGATATTAAAAGTGCCCGCTATATTATTGTTTGGTACACATATAAAATTTTTATGGCGCCCGAGTTATTGGTTATGGCTCCAAAAGTTTCACGTTTAGGCGTACGCGGATGTCGATTTTGAGTTGCGAGATCACGCGCGGGTGGGGGAGGGAAATCTCAGCTTCCCAGCTTCTGTGGTCTCTGAGTTGAAAATCTCGGATAAAATGCAATCGGGACATACAAACAAACAAACAGACAAAGTCTCGACAATGTGTGCTTTTTGCAACTGTTGCGGCAAAAAACGCACAAAAATCGGAAAAAATTAAAAAAATCACTTCAAACTTTACCAGACTCATGCACATGTATCCTATTTCCTATTTTTTGTTACACTACCAGATTTATTGTAATTATTTCTGCAGCTGTAACTACGACTTCTATTTCAGACGGTGAAATAAAACACACAACCAAAAATTATCAAAAACCAAATTAAAAGTTGTGTTGCTTTAGGTCACATGTGGGCAAACAGTGGCCCGCGGGCTGGACCCGGCCCGCGGCCGGTTTCAATCCAGCCTGCGGAAGGAACCGGAACGTGGTACCTAGCTAGGCGAAGAGGGGGGGGGGGAGGAGGGTTGTATTCCGCCAAGCCTCTGCACACCCAACAAAATAAATAAAACTAAAATACGCACGACGCACTGCTCACAGTACTCACATTAACCTGCTGTTTGTTTCTATGCGTTTCTGCTACAGCGCCTGTTAAAGTAAACGACCCAGATAGCAACGCACCACGCCTGCTCGTGCAATAATGCGTTTTACCGCTAAACTTTACGCAGTCAGATCGTTAACAGCACGAGTGGTTGTTGCTTTACAGTATACCTGTGTTTTGGTTTTAATTTTGTTTTGGTGTTTAGGTTATTTTGCCTATATTTTGGTTTTTTTGCATGCGAGAGAAAAGGGCGTCGGCTGGGACGGTAGTGTTGCATCATGGCTCTTCTCGTTGCTGAGTTAAAAAGCCTATTAAAAGGTAGCCTTTCACCTACTTTGTGCGCTCACTACCGTAAATCATCGTAAATTTGGCATAAAGGGAGGTGAACAATTTCCGTTTAGAGGTCGTTCCTTGAAGATGACCTGGCTGTTCAATGAGCAGTTTTCCGCCAAAAATTTAAGTTCCCTTATATGACAATCATGTATACTTGGAGCACTAAGTTTATAATCTTTAAGTTGTATTTTGACAGGACACACTCCCCTAAAATTTCAGCTTTTCAGGTTTCCGAGTTAGCAATTTTCCCACCAAAACTTTCACGTGCCCGTACGTGAGTACCAAGGACTGAATTTGAAATCTTTGGTTCGCGCATACACATGGGATATCCCTGCAAAGTTTCGGCTTTCTATTCTCTGGTTCTCGAGGTCGCTTTCCCGCCAAAAAATTTGCATATTTTTTCTAAAGCGTTCGAATGTGGGACCCAGGCGCAAGCAAGTGATGGTATTAAGACGGGAAGAGCGCGCATGGTGTGGGCACATACCACCGAAGTTAGCCAGAAACCAGTAACTAAAATTTTGTTAGAATGCTAATCGTCAACTTGCATTTGCGCCACGACTTGAGGCACTTCAAAGATATTTGTGCGAAGTGGCCATTTTGCACACGAAGCTGAAACATTGCTAGGATATTCTATATTCACTGTGGTCTTAATTCAGCTTGGATGTGAAATTCCATGCACGCATACACGACAGATACTCAATTTTGTCGCAGACTCAAAAGTGAGCGCATTTTTTGGATTTTATAACCCTCTTCTGACTTCCTTCAAACTTGTATTTTGTCAATGAATGAGCATTCACTGGAGAAATGACCGGCTTCATTAAAAAAAACCTAATATAACCATAAACGCTGGAGGCCCATGCGGCCCATAATTCAACGCCTTTATCCCAGCCGATGTCCTTTCCCTCTGCATGCGGGAAAGGATAAAACGCAGTCAAATTAAAACCATTCCTATTGTTAGCGACCTGCACGTTTAATTCAAAAATCAGAAAGCCTGGTGCGTTGCAGCCCGGGTTTTTATTAGACGAGCAACCCGGTGAAAATTTATCTGTTTTTATGCGTTTTTGCTGTGCAGCGCTATAGCGCTGCTACAGCCAGCAAAAACGCATATTG